CTTAATTCTATTCTATTAATTCTATTCTAAATTCTGTTCTATTAATTCTATTCTATTCTTAATTCTATTCTATTAATTCTATTCTAAATTCTGTTCTATTAATTCTATTCTATTCTTAATTCTATTCTATTAATTCTATTCTATTAATTCTATTCTATTAATTCTATTCTAAATTCTGTTCTATTAATTCTATTCTATTCTTAATTCTATTCTATTCTAAATTCTATTTTATTAATTCTATTTTATTCTATATTTTATTCTATATTCTATTCTATATTCTATTCTAAATTCTATTCTATTAATTCTATTCTATTAATTCTATTCTATCCTATTAAGTCTATTCTATTCTATTCTTAATTCTATTCTCTATTCTATTCTAAATTCTATTCTATTAATTCTATTCTATCCTATTAATTCTATTCTATTCTATATTCTATTCTCTTCTATATTCTATTCTCTTCTTAATTCTATTCTATATTCTATTCTAAATTCTATTCTATTAATTCTATATTCTATTAATTCTATTCAGGAGGAGGACTGGGGGGAGGGGGGCATATGATAGCAGAGTATTTGAGGGGCTGCCACAAAGAGGAGGGGGGTCAAATTATTCTCCAAAGCACCAGAAAACAAGAAGCGATGGGTGGAAACTGCTCAAGGACAGAAGCAACCTGGAATTAAGGAAGAATTCGCTGACAGTGAGGACATTTAACCAGTGGAACTCTTTGCCACCAGAAGTAGTGGGTGTGCCTTCATCACTGGAGGTTTCTTAAAAACAGACTGGTTTTATAACCCCCCCCCTCCAAAAAAAACCACGTTAAACTGGTTATGGAGAGACCTGGGCAGCCCCTTGTCTGAAATGCTATAGGCCAGGGTCTCCTGCTTGTGGGCTGGACTAGATGACCTCTAAAGGTCCCTTCCCTTATTCTGATGATGCCGCAATAGGCCGACTGCGGAAAGGAAACCATGGCAGTTCTTGCGCACTTTGGGGGGGCCCCAGGCTGGAGAAAAACCTTAAGAGTCCCCTGCGCTAAGCCGCGGACGATGGGAGTTGTAGTCCCCCACCCACTGGAGGGGGGAAGCGCGCGGGCGGGAGAGTAACCGGAGGGGGGCGACCCGCGCTCCCTGCCCGGATAAGGGAGACTTCCTCGGCCTGCGGGCTCAAGTACCTGCGGGCGAGTCCCGCCGCCGCCGCCGCCACCGCCTCCCTCAGCAGCAACGCCGCGGCCTCCAGCTGGCCGCATCGAATGTCGTCATTTCCGGAGGGCGAGCGCGCTTCCGGCTCTGAGAGTGTGTGTATGAGCGAGAGACAGAGACAGAGAGAGATCTATGGTCTCTAGAGACCTCTCTATGATGGGACACCTCTATGATAAGAAATCGCCAGCCCGGAGGACTCGTTCTTCCAGGCGGGGTTAAAAGGGGGCGTGGCTAGGCAGGATTGCACGTGCGGCCAACTGTGCGCCTGCGCGCTCTTCTGCGGATGGGAGAGAGGGCGGGGGGAGGAGAGAGAGAGAGAGAAAAGGCCCCCAAGGCTCCAAAGGGTCCTCGGGAGCTCCTCCCAAGAGGCGTCGGCTGCGCAGGCGCAGATCTTGTCTTATGCCCCTGGCGGCCGTTCAGGGCATGGGGACTACGATTCCCAGGATGCCTTGGGAGCTAAACTGCTGTCATCCATCCATTCGTCTGTTCATCTTCCTCCCTCCCTTCCTTTCCTTCCATCCATCTATCTATCTTACCATCAACCCATCCATCTATTCATCTATCATCTTCCTTCCTCCCTTTCCTTCCATCCATCCATCCATCTATGTTATCCATCATCATCCATCTATTCATCTACTTCTTCCTTTCCTTCCATCCATCTATCTTATCCATCCATCCATTCATCTATTCATCTATCATCTTCCTTCCTCCCTTTCCTTCCTTCCATCCATCCATCAATCTATGTTATCCATCATCATCCATCTATTCATCTATTTCTTCCTTTTCTTCCATCCATCCATCTGTTCATCTTCCTCCCTCCCTTCCTTTCCTTCCATCCATCTATCTTATCCATCCATCCATTCATCTATTCATCTATCATCTTCCTCCCTCCCTTTCCTTCCATCCATCCATCTGTTATCCATCATCATCCATCTATTCATCTATTATCTTTCTTCCTTCCTTTCCATCCATCCATCCATCTAATCTATCCATTATCATCTATCTATTCATCTATCATCTTCCTTCCTTTCCTTCTTTCCATCCATCTATTCATCTTCCTTCCTTCTTTCCTTTCCATCCATCCATCCATCCATCCATCTATATCTATCTATAAACTTATCCATCATCTATCATCTTCCTTCCTTCCTTTCCTTTCATCCATCCATCTATCTATTATCTATCCATCCATCCATCCATCCATCCATTAATCTAACATCTCCCTCCCTCCCTCCATTTCCTTCCTTCCTTCCATCCATCCATCCATCTAGCTTATCCATCCATCCATCCATCCATCCATCCATCCATCCATCCATCCATCCACCTCTCGTAAGCCCGTTTCATTTTTCCACTCCTCAATGGGCTGACAACTCATCCCTTCTAATAATATTTCGGGCAGATCGTACACCAGGCCCTAACCAGCAAGGAGCCGTGTGACTGTGCTACTTGACAACTCAGTGTGTTGCCGTTGTGGTCCTGGGAAGGCGAGAGAATAAAAAGCAGCGGAACACAACCTGGGAAGATTAAATATCCAAAGAATTTATTTAGTTAAAACTCTTCGAAAAAGCCCCTTGACTTGCAAGGGCACAGCAATGCCCGCATTTTCATGGAAACCGTAAGCCAGGATTCTCCTGCCCCCCCAAACGTTGCCCGCAAGCACCCCGTGGCCTCCCATCCGGAGAAGCACAGCCCATTCCGGCAGGGCCAGCCTGCCAGCCACAAAGCTGTGACGCATTTGGCCTCATTCCAGTACTTGGGACTTAAAC